CAGTTCCCAGTGCCTGGGCGGCCGAAATTCCATTGACATCCATGGAGCCAAAACCACCGCGCCGGTCGCCATAGCCTCGGTCATAATCGTCGCGGTCACGCTGTTGTGGATGGGAGGGAAACGAGCTGACTCCGCCTGCGACAAACGTTGGAGCCCTGCGGCAAAACCTGGTTAGTATCGGGCGGCACATCTAAGCAACTGGAGCTTCCTTACGCTACAGGGGCCGGTTGAGGTGCCTGAACCTGCGCCAAAGCATTTTTGTAAACATCCGGCATCTCCCAAGTGCTTTGCTTAGTTTCCGTGTTGTACCAGTATTTCCGTCCACCCTCAGCAGTATATTCTTTCCATGGCTGATTGGCTAGAGCTCGCTGTGAACGTAAGGAAAGCATTAGCACAAACATGAGCACAGCGAGACTCGGAATAGCAAACAAACCTCGACAGGAGTCATCAATTCGACGGGTTTCTGCCACTGTGTAGCTTTGGTCTGAACATTGTAATAATACACTCTGCCGTCCGCATTGCGCGCCTCCTGCCACAGAGGGGATGCAGCTGCTGGTCCAGTCATCGGATTCATAATGCTTGATGAGCAAATGTTCCCAAGGAAGGAAAGTTGCCCTGCAATGGATGAAGATCCTGATGCGCGGAAAATGTAGATGACAGGCGAAGCTGTCCCGTTAGTTTCCCTTGGCTAGTGAGGATTGTTTGTTATGTTTGCATCGGAACCCCAACTCTTCCTTATCATAGTCATCACCAGAATTGGCATAAAATAACACTGGAAAATGGTCATTTCACGCTACAATAATCATTGAACGACATTTTATTAGAGTTGCTCGGGTTTCTAGTTGTTTAAGACATTTGTTGCAAGTGACGCGCGAGCATGTGCTTTCGTTATGCCGAGTCTTGATATCCCTGGAGAATTCCTGAGACATGCTGTGCTAGATACAGTTGTCCCACATGCTTCAAATATAGATCTGGAGGCTGCTCTGGCGAAAGCGTTGGAAGGGGGCGCTGCCGATCTATCTTCTGTACTGTCCTTAATACCTCAGCGGTCACTCTTGTTCTTCGGTACGCGGAAAGACAACCTCCTGATCGGACTCCTATCTCTTACTCATGTAAAGTATTACAGATGAATTTTGCACCGCGTGCATCGTTCTCAGATTGTCCGATTGCTCGCGGGCGAGCTTGAAACATCATCTTCCAAACCTTGAAGTCAAGCTTGACGTTTTTGCCATCGACCCCGCCGAGGCAGTCTCTGAGAATCCGACTCCTACGAGGGACCTGATATTCTCAGGGGTTGTAAGTGGGCAGGAGGAACCGCTGGTAGTCGTGAATGAGTTTGAAGGTGAGACAGGGAGCGGTAATCATGTGTATGTGATCTGGAGTATTGAGACGTTTCTCAGTAAGTTCACTGATGTCTGACACTCCAGTTGTGTTTTTACTGATTGGCATATTCAGGGCGCCCTCGCATACGGATCCAACACCCTTCGCTTATCTTCATAGCCTCAGCCAGTCTCAATCTGAGTGATAGTCAACAACAAGAGTCCCCTGACGACGACTACCTTCCTCCACTGGTTCCAGCCTCGATAAATATCTTGCAACCTTTGTCAACAGACAAAGCTTTGAACAAAATTGACCCTTTCCTACCTGCGTCCAGGCTTCTACGAGTCGTACCTGCGCAATATAGCGAAGATCCTATATACAATGTCCAGCAACGATCAGGTCATCCCATCCGTGTGGTTCCTGCAGCTAGCGCCAGGATACGGTACTCTCGACTGAACTCGTTCTCTGGGCGACCTACGACAGTTGCAAGTCTGGATTTTGAGGTCACGCCATTTCTTAACTGCGATGTGTTATTCGATAAAGCCGAACTTCGGTTATCAGATGGGAAGATTGAAACCTTATCTGAAGATCCCGGCCTCAAGCCCCCGATCATATGTCGCCCAAGGGACGATGTGACTCTAATCTATAAATTGACACCTGAGTACAGCCAGGATCCGAGTCCCTCGACCACCGTGTTAGTCAGCGTCTTGGATATATCCCTAGAGGCAGTCATCCAAGTATCAGAAGACTGCCACCCACGAATTCTGATGCAATGGAAGACAAACATTGACTTCTCCATGGTCTTGAATCCAACCTTCGGTGGTCCTAGTCAAGCCTTGCAACGCAGTAACCGCCCAGCAAGTCTTTCTGTGGGGCCAAATCAAGTGAACGTCGCAGCCGGCGGTCCTCCTCCCAGCCTGAGCTCCTTGAGAGACAGAGCCTCTTCGATCATGGACATGGGAGTCACAATCTCGTTCTCTGGTCCCGATAAGGTGGAAGTTGGCAAGCCATTCTCCTGGGATGTGTTTATTGTCAACCGATCTACGAGTGCGCGTAAATTCGCCATGATTGCCATTCCTCGCAGGAAACGAGCCGATCCGAGAGGACATGTAGCCAGACCTTCCTCGTCATCCATCTCGAGTCGTAAAGAGGATGGGGTTGCAGAAGCAGTGACGGACGATAACATTGTCCATGCGATGCAAAAGAGCGTGGCGGGCCAGGAAGCTGAGCTCGTATGCCTCAGCACGGACATACGCATTGGGTAGGTCTCTTTTTGAAGGCCTATTTCATAAGAAGATATTGACTAACACGTAATCAGCCCCCTTCCACCGGGAACGTGCTATTCAACCGAGTTGAAACTGCTTCCCCTTGCAGTGGGGCCTCTTCACTTAGAAGCCGTGCGCCTTGTGGACGCCAATTCGAACGAAACCACCGATATCAGAGATCTTCCCGACATAGTAGCCTTTGATCGAAAGGGTGTACCATGTGCAGTATAGATTACTTGTCTTTCTGAAGGATGCCTCAAGCGCCCGATCTGTAAAAGGAGTCTCTCCAAGATAGAGTAGGCCAAGTAGCCAGAAAAATGTATGATATACCCTAATTTGTGGCCCTATATTTTTTATTGGCATTAATGTCTGACAATTTACCACTTGATACTACCTGATTATCATCAAATTAGCGGACTTCGTACACAATCAGAGGCAAAAGCAGTAGTGATCTATTAGGTGTATATATTAGCGGGGAATGGGGGGCGGCAAGGCGTACACTAGACGAAAGGCTAATTAATCATTTGTGGGCTGGCCATAAGGATCATGCGGATGCCTTATGAAAACCCCGTTGGATCGTTACATGCAGTTGAACTGTCCGGGGTTCTCCTTCAGACCAGGTGGATATACTGCGTAGTTCATCCACTTCGTTTGTGTCCATCATTTGTTCATCCTTGGAATACATGCTGCTGACGTGACCGAACGCAAGATATCTTATTATTAAAAGGCCTGTGTTGCTGGTTTTTCCCTGCCACCTTTGCCTCCAGCCCCATACTTTGCGTCATACTGTCGCTCAAGCCCGCCGACCGGAAAACTTGTCTTCGGTCTCTTTCCATTAGGATATACTACGACTTTTCCTATCTCAGTTCGCTCCATAATGTTTTCCCTAGCGCGTCGAAGAATTTTGGATGGCCTTAACAGAAGATATATCTATGGACGACTGGTATGTAGCCACGATAATGCACAATTCTCCCCATTCCAGACACTGCCTCTTTCCGAGCACCTTCCGAACGGGTCCTTTCATTCTGTGCGTCCAATGTTGCGATCTGTACTGACTCTGTCGACTTTCTCTTTTTGTAGCCTCTGCTACATACGATAATCTTTCTCATCGAGATGGCGGTTGCAATGCGCCTTGCGGCCAAATTCAACTCCTACTATGCGGACCGGCCTGGTAAGGCTCGATCAAGACATGTGCGGATGTGTTGCATTTCACTAACTTGACACTTTTTGCAGTCCTGACCACAATGGTCACCAACGCGGTACGAACCTGTCGAAAGCCTCTCGCTTTGCCTGCTTTCGTTTCCGGAGGTCACGACTAACGAAGCGTTTGATTTAGGTGCTTGGTGGAATCGCAGATACGGTGGCCCAGGTGATCACAGCCGTCAAGGCCCATTCGACAGTACGAAATAGGCAAGACGGCGATCTCCTCTCGATCGAGATCCACGAGATGGACAAGGAACGGCCGCCACCCTTGGGAGAACTGGGACATGCGAAGCACATTCCTCCTCCGTTTGATTTCGAACGACTCACCCGATTTATGTCATACGGTTTCTTCATGGCGCCTATACAATTCAAGTGGTTCGGCTTCCTGTCGCGAGCATTTCCACTGACCAAAAAGAGCCCAACGTTACCGGCTTTGAAGCGGGTTTGTGTTGATCAGCTCATGTTCGCTCCTTTCGGTATGGACATCCTCTGATTTTCGAGATAAGAGTTTGGCTGACGGTATTGATAAAGGTCTGGCGTGCTTCTTCACATTCATGACTGTCGCGGAGGGAGGAGGGAAAAGAGTGTTGACCCGCAAGTTCCAGGACGTCTACTTGCCGACCCTGAAGGCAAACTACGTCTTGTGGCCTGCTGTGCAGATCATCAACTTCCGGGTTATGCCAATTCAATTCCAAATTGTAGGTGAAATCTTAACATGACGAATATGGATGGTGCTAAACGCGAGTCACAGCCATTCGTATCTACTGTCGGTATTGCTTGGACCGCATACCTGTCGTTGACCAACTCGGCCGAGGAAGAATAGACGGAATACAGCGGCAGCATTGGTTTGTTTCCGCGTTTCTTTGACCATATATCTCTCATTGCTCTTCTTTGTTTCTGTGGTTGTCAGGCGTTGTAAATGCTCGGGGGGCTTTTCCTTTCTTTCTTCTATGGACAATGGTGTTCAGGTCAATTTCCCGGAAACTCAAAAAGGTGTCAATCCTCGTTCTCATAAATGATCATCATCCAGAGAGCAAATCATGGACTATTCAAAATCGCCAATTCTTCCAGGTTTCCTTGAACTGCGTGACTTGGAACGGGTGTTCTGTAGACTAAGATCCTACCTAAAGCAACTCTCCAACAATCTGCATCATCTCCAACAGAGTGATGAATGTCTATTCATAGTCCCAGCAGCGAATAACTACGGAAAACATGCGGATCAGCCCTCTTTGCATCCGAGGCTATCGAGAATTCGCAGGCACAATATTCTACCAGGCCCGGAGCCTTCCGTCATCGATCCTGGACTCTGACATCAGTCCCGCATCAGCCCGAAGGTCAGCGAATCTCTCACCGGAAGCCCCACCACAGTCGACCTTAACAAACAATGCCAATTACCCCGCCGTCGAACCGAAGTTGATCGAACTAGGCTCACCGTGAGCATATTAGGATAGGAGTTTTCAGTCTACTTTGTCTGTTTAGTGAATCCAAAGGTATACTCGTCGTGCTTCTCGTTCTCCAGGCCCCATCAGCTGACCCGGCCTACAATTTGATAGAAACACCATACACAATGTCTCTCACCAACAAGCTTGCTATCACGGACGTCGACCTCAAGGACAAGCGTGTCTTGATCCGGGTACGTTGTGCTGAAACCAAATCCATGAGCCAATCGACGATTGAGTTGCGGGAGAGAACCATGCTTTGAGCGCGCAATGGCTAACATGTCCCCCGTCCCTGGCAGGTCGACTTCAACGTCCCTCTCAATGAGAAGAAGGAGGTCACCAACCCCCAGCGTATCGTCGGTGCTCTGCCCACCATCAAGTATGCCATCGACCAGGGCGCCAAGGCCGTCATCCTCATGTCCCACCTTGGCCGTCCCGACGGCAAGAAGAACCCCAAGTACAGCTTGAAGCCTGTTGTTCCTGAGCTGGAGAAGCTGCTCGGCAAGAGCGTCATCTTCACCGAGGACTGCGTTGGCAAGGAGGTGGAGGAGACCGTCAACAAGGCCTCGGGCGGCCAGGTCATTCTGCTTGAGAACCTGCGTTTCCACGCCGAGGAGGAAGGTAGCTACAAGGACGAGGAGGGCAAGAAGGTCAAGGCCGACAAGGAGGCGGTTACCGAGTTCCGCAAGGGCCTGACGGCCCTAGGTGACATCTACATCAGTAAGCATGGGATTCTTGCTTGGTCTGGATTGACGTAGGAGAAGCTAATAACCTTATTCCAGACGACGCGTTCGGAACCGCCCACCGTGCCCACAGCTCGATGGTCGGTGTTGACCTGCCCCAGAAGGCCTCTGGCTTCCTCGTGAAGAAGGAGCTCGAGTACTTCGCCAAGGCTCTCGAGAGCCCCTCGCGCCCGTTCCTGGCCATCCTCGGTGGTTCCAAGGTCTCCGACAAGATCCAGCTTATCGACAACCTGCTGCCCAAGGTTAACAGCCTGATCATCACTGGTGGCATGGCCTTCACCTTCAAGAAGACCCTGGAGAACGTCAAGATCGGTAACAGTCTGTTCGACGAGGCCGGCAGCAAGACCGTCGGCGATATCATCGAGAAGGCTAAGAAGAACAACGTCAAGATTGTCCTGCCTGTCGACTACATCACGGCCGATAAGTTCGCTGCCGACGCCAAGACCGGCTATGCCACCGACGAGGAAGGCATCCCCGACGGCTACATGGGCCTGGATGTCGGCGAGAAGAGTGTCAAGCTGTACAAGGAGACCATTGCCGAGGCCAAGACCATCCTCTGGAACGGTCCTCCTGGTGTGTTCGAGATGGAGCCTTTTGCCAACGGTACCAAGCAGACTCTGGACGCTGCTGTTGATGCCGCCAAGAACGGCGCCATCGTCATCATCGGTGGTGGTGACACCGCTACTGTTGCGGCCAAGTACGGTGCTGAGGACAAGCTCAGCCACGTCTCCACTGGCGGTGGTGCCTCGCTGGAGCTTCTGGAGGGCAAGGAGCTGCCTGGTGTTGCTGCGCTGTCAAGTAAGTAAACGAAAGAATAATGTCTTGAATCAAAAGCGGACTTCCGCGTTCATGAAGACCTTCAAGAAGCGGGAGGCGAGTTCTCTATGAATATAATGTATAAACCAACGAGTTAATCAGCAATGAAAAGAGTATTCGAATCAAGAAAGTTTCTGATATAGTGGTCTGATAGATACGAGCGCCAAGCTATGATCAATTTCGCATTGCATAGCACATGTAGTCCTCAAGCGTCATGGCAGTCTCATGACGGTTCCATCTCATGCATTAATTGTAAATAGATAGGAGATATGTAGAGAAATCGATATACCGGTCGCCTATCCACTGTGGGCCTGCCTTGCAGACATTGTACCATATAACCCTCAAGCCGATATACCACCAACCGCATAGTTGATCAGCTTTCGAGGCAGGACAGACATATGTATATTAAGCCTGACTAGTATGCGAAGCTTCGATCATCAATTCTCGTCCGTACCGCATGCATGCCTTACATTCGGTAAGGTTCACCCCAGGTTCATGTCGGTTCAACCGGTATCACTCTCGCAAATCCGTAACGCGCTAATAAATACTAATGGGATGCTTCGACTTTCTTGAGTTCCTCTCTATAGTGCAATCGCATCGTCAGTAACGATGGCAAAAACGTGACAGATGGAGCATGATGTGACGTGGCATGGTGAAATCCACCGTCCATCCTCCCAGCAATGAGGGAAGGTGAGCTTAGCTTCGACAGCGCCGTGAGCAACGTACTTCAACTGCTTTGAGAAATCTTCCGCAGCATCATCATCGTCCCAGCTCTCCTCCCACAGATGGACGTTATTTCCGTTTGCTTGTTCGGTTTCCTCTTGAGGCCAGTCTAGATGCTCATCGGTCAGCAGTAGCTCGTCGTTGCATTACGAGAGTACCCCGCTTCCCCGTGAGCGGGGCAGCACAGGTGCTCACCTTCGACTGGGAAATCTTCGAATTCATCGTCTTCTTCTAGCACGGTGGGCTTCTGCTGTGTTGGCTGTTCGGAGGTTTCGGGCTTATCCTGTGTCTGTGTTGTGTTCGACATGGCGGCGTTGTGTGAGGGAGAAATGAAAATGGTTAGGATCGAGGAAATGGATTGATGGGTTTCCTGATGTGAAAGGGAAATTTTCTAGATATTAGGCAGGACAGGAAGGTGGTCAATGAGGTAGATCAATATGGTCGAGAGATAAGTAGTCTGTTCACCTCGATGAGGTATCTGGACAAGGTCGGTCAAAGGCGGTGGCGATCTGCTTCGGCCTCAGGCCAAAACTCCGTGAGCAGCGCGGCGAAGACCCTAACTAACAAGGTAGCGTCCACTCCCCTCTCTGACGCTGTAGCCTACAGAACACAGACGCAACTTTAACAAGGCTAACTAACAGGCTACGTATTCAGATAATTACAGTGTCCCCATCCACCAATGATCATCGTGACCGTGCAGAAAGGTTTGACGCCTAGTCCATTAGGCTGAGGCTCCCGGGGTTAACGGAACAGGAGGCAACAAGAGCCTCAAACCCACCGTTGAGCTTGCTAGCTAGACTGGTGAGTTACTGATGATAGACGAGAGATCTCAAGTATGCACTGTAGATAGCGAATGATTCATTAATGGTTGATGATGGAATATCAAACGGATCCTTGAATAATTACTTACTGGAATGGGCGCCCTCCCAGCTATAATGGATCGTGGATAGCCATCTCGGGCAGAATGCTCCGCCCCGGGCCATGGACTAAACCGATAAAGCCGTCTATGATCTTATTATTCAACATATTATTATTTCTCATCAGCACAACTCCGAACCTTCATTTGTTTTCTTCCGTTTCTCTTGCTTATTCTTCTTCCTTTTGAAGTATTCATACGTAACATTCAGCTTCTCTCTGGAGCCATGCCCTCAGTCGGTATCTGATGGGAGACTCGACATTTCTCCCATTTCGTCACATCCTTCATTCAGGTCCGGACACCTCCGTCTCGGTCTGATATGAGATTTTCGATTCGGTATCTTTTGTCGTAAATAAACTTAATATTATTATTTATTTCCCTTTCGCCATTGCGTCGGTCCCTAGTGAACACTTCTCACAATATGTTCCGAGTTGGTTCATGGCTGTATGGCAAGAAGCCTGCTGCCAATGCCTCGACACAGTCTCTCGACTCTTTAGTCGAGTTGCGGGATCGTGAGTGTTCTTTTTGATCTACATTATGACGCTTTGACTGATTATTTCATTCGGTGCCGATTAGTTGAGGATGCTATGAGGGGTATGTCTGAAATGGCTTGTCCACCAGCTTTCGCGCATTCAAGTCATGCGATTGGACTATGCGACTTATGAACCAAGACTGATTCTTTTGCTGCAGCTGCCACTTTGATTCTCAATGACGACGTCGATGGCGCTGAAGCTGGTCTGGCAGAAGGAACCTCGAGCTTCCATAATGTATGTTTAACCCCTTGCGAGATATGACATCATCTTTGTGCTGACCGAATCTCGTACTTGCGTGCAGCTTGGGAGAGGAGTGGTCGCATTTATTCGGGCGACTTTGGGATTTGAACAGGATATCATGCGCCAAGGTGGGCTTAGCGTTTATCTCCTGTTCTAGATTGCAGTCAATCGCTGTCAGGGGTTTGTCATTCACTGACGCTCTTGTAGCATCGGAGCGACTGAACGAAGCCGAGACTAGTGCATCCGTCGACCAGCACAGGGCACAGCACAACTCGCATGCGCCGAATACCTACCACTCGCCGATGTATTCGCCAGGAACCGAGTTTGCATTGTGCCAGGCAATAGCACAGCTCATGGGCGCCATAGTAGGGGTGCTGAATGAGAGCCTCACGGAGAGTATAAAAGCGTTCTACCGACTCAGGAAAGCTTACATCACTCTCGATGCGATTTTGAAGATGGAACAGAAATACATGGAGGAATTGCGCACTGCGACTCCGGTAGAATCTACAACGCCTGGATCGGTTCCGTCTCTCAAGCGGCATAGCTCTAGCAACCTTCAGTCCTCGCGCTCGTCCATCTCCTCGGCCAAAGTCAGAGAAGCGGCCGCGAATACACTTGCCGCACCTGGCAAGGATGCCCATGTAAATGAAAGGTTGGCCGATTTGGATCTCTCTGGCGACGCTCTCGTTGCGGAAGACCCTGGTCAAACTCCGACCACGATCAACGCTGATATCCTCGACCATGACCCTGACTCCGACATCTTTCAGAATCAGATCGATGTCTTTGTGCATTCTGGTTCCAATTTCTGTTTTGGTGTCCTGCTTTTGCTGATCTCAATGGTGCCACCCTCTTTTAGCAAGTTGCTCAGTATTATTGGGTTCCATGGCGATAAGGAAAGAGGATTGAGAATGTTGTGGCAGGCCAGTAAGTTCCACAACCTGATCGGAGGTATAGCAGCTTTTGCCATTCTCGGCTACTACAACGGGTTCGTTCGTTATTGCGATATCATGCCTGATTCTATCCCCGGCCAAGACGGGGATGTGCAGGGTTATCCGCAGAAGCGGTTGGAATTGCTGCTTGCGAAGATGAGAGAGCGGTTTCCCAAGAGTCAGCTTTGGCTACTCGAGGAGTCCAGAATGAGTGGCGCCAACAAAAATCTTGACAGGGCTCTGGAGCTGCTGTGTGGGGAGGAACACAGCCCCCTGAAGCAGGTTGAGGCATTGAGGGTTTTCGAGCGAAGCTTGAACGCCATGTATCTGCACAAGTATGAACTGTGCGCAGATTCCTTTCTTGAGGTAAAAGCTGGTTCACAGAGAGAAATCGCAGACGAGCCTACTAACGCATTGACTTAGTGTGTTGACCTGAACTCTTGGTCCCGCTCATTGTATTATTACATTGCTGGATCGTGCCATCTCTCGCTATACCGGGACGTGAAGGAGACAGACTCTGCGAAAGCCGCAGAGCATGCCGAATTAGCTGAGAAAAATTTCCGAATGGCCCCCACAGTAGCGGGAAAGAAGCGTTTCATGGCACGACAACTGCCTTTCGATGTATTTGTGGCTCGCAAGTTTGCTAAATGGGAGGCACGCGCCAAGGAGTGGAAGGTACCTCTGGTCGATGCGGTTGGCGTTGACCCGATTGAGGAAATGATATTCTTTTGGAACGGCCATAGCCGTATGACGGACGAGCAGCTGCAGGAGTCGTTGCAGAAACTGGCCTGGAGTGAATCCAGCGCGAATAAGACCTGGTCACGAGAGGGCCCAGAGGAGAAAGCGATCTTGAAGTTGCTTCGAGCTGCTGTTCACCGCTCGCTGCGCAAACACGCCGAGGCAAAAGAAATGCTCGAGGATATCCTTAGCCAGGACCGAACATTGTTCAAGGGCCACCTGAAGGACGATTGGATTTGTCCAGTGGCCCACTTCGAAATGGCGGCGAATCTCTGGATGGAACGCCCAACATACATCGCCAACCACGGCGGAGCGAAACAAGACTCGGACAAAGAATCTGCCGAGCCTGCCGACGCAAAGGACGCGCTACAGTACGAGAGGGAAAAGGTACGGAAATGCAAAGAGTATCTGGAAAAGGCGGCAAAGTGGGAGAGCTACGAGCTTGATGCGCGTATAGGTCTCAAGGTGACAGCTGCCATGGAAGCAGTGCAAAAGTGGGAGGGCACACATCCGACGGTCTAGGGATTACGGGCATGATCGGGTTATATGACTTGTATGATGGTACGAAACAGGTTTATCAAGCTTGTCATGGCAGAATCGCACGATAGACAATTTATTTGGGCTTGTAGTCACATTATATATCTGCCATATATCGGTGTTTCGGCGATTGACTGTGAGCTTCATCTGTGGTTTTGCCAAGAAGTAAGAACCATTGCTTGTTTCGACAAAAGCTCTTATAATATATGGGAGCATCGCATCCCCGTCCATTTGCCGGACTTGGGTACCCCATTGAGACGAGTAAACGATCCATACGTCTTAGCGGCTCTTCCACGACGGGCAAGAATTACCCATCCCGAGGCCATGAGGGTTGCTTCCATTGCCGAGTCCCACTTTATGGACCGCCCGATGGTGGCGATCCATTCTTCCTCAAGCATCCACTCTGACTCAAAACGTGGGCTCGGAAAAAATTCCGACGGATATTCCGCTTGTCACTGATGCTTGTGCTACGGAGGATCGTCTCACTTTTGAGATGGAGTGCATATGGAGTCGCTGACATGTTTCGTGTAGATAAGTTGATGCCGGATAGATCGCATGCTATTGTCGTCTTTCCATCCACTCGTGAGAGGAATCTGTCTGAAGTCTAAAGCCATGAGATGTTCACATCACAATCAACACTTACTCCGACTGTAAGCAAAGGTACTTATCGGACGTCCGATCAGTCTAGCGTTTTGACGGACAGGGTCCGGTTAAGACGGCTCGTTACGAAGACGATTCTTTGGGCCTTTTTTGACTAGTCTTGTTTATAACGAGCTCAAATCCCCATGTCTGGTGCCATTGATTCAGTTGATCGCTCGATCTTATTATTGTTGGTTTGGTGTGAGAGAACTGAGATATAATCCCTACGAACTTGGGTGACGTCGTAACTCTGTTATCACCCACCCAACTCTTGCGCCAACATTACTTTTCCACTCAACGCAGAAGGAATTTGATTTCTGTCAAATTTTGGAAATAGGACGTTCGCTTGTCGATGTTCTTATAGCCTACTTCTTTGGTTTCTTAGCTTTGGTCACCTTGTTACCGCCGTCGCAAAATTGCTTCTATGAAGTCATGACCGATAACGACCATTTCTCCCGCACGTCTTCCCGCACGTCTACGACGGATAGTGATACTGAATCTCGAAGCGAACAAAATGGTTCCGGCCGCCATGAACTCGACAACGCAGCGCTGGAAAAGCAGACCACTGCGGCCTCGGGGCTGTCAGTACTCGAGCAGCGCGCACAGTCAGTGATATCGAGAATCCGAAGTCGAGAACCCGGGCAAACTGCTCGTTTCACGCACCCTTTGTCGCATAGCAAAACGACAGAAGATGTCATTGTGGATTTCGACGGGCCTGATGACCCCTACAGGCCATTGAACTGGGGATTTAGGAAGAAGGCTGTTACCACCGTGCTATACGGTCTGACAACAATGGGTATACACAAGCCGCTCACAGAGATGCAACCCAACCAGGGCTAACTGATTGTTTACGAATAATAGGTGCGACTTGGGCAAGTTCAATGTACGGAAATCCGCTGGCCACGACACTTCACCTGCATCAGCATGTTGACACTCTTAAACAGTTATTCCACCGGCACCGTTCAAGTTTCCAAACAATTCGGCGTTGGAGAGGAAGTTAGCACCCTTGGAACAACATTACTACTATTTGGGTTCGGTATGTGATGGTCACTGGCATTTATGAGGGCGACCAACTTTGTTTACTGACTTTTTCAGGACTTGGTCCGCTTGTATTTGCCCCTCTCTCCGAAGTATACGGGCGTAAATCTGCCGTTCTCATACCCTACTTCATCGCCGCTATATTCTCGTTCGGCACTGCAACCGCCAAAGATCTGCAGACCGTCATGATTACTCGCTTTTTCACGGGATTCTTCGGCTCGGCTCCCGTCACCAACACCGGCGGCGTTTTGGGCGATATCTGGTCCGCGGAGCAGCGGGGTGCAGCTATTGTTGGGTATGCCATGGCCGTTGTCGGTGGTCCTGTGCTCGGGCCAATCGTCGGCGGTGCTATCGTCCAGAGCTATCTTGGATGGAGATGGACGCAATATGTGAGTGCAGCTCATACGCCTTGATAAACAGCACCTAATACAGATGTACCCCAGATCACCGGCATCATGATGATGTTCTTCCTCGCCCTGGACGTGATCTTCCTCGACGAAAGCTACGCACCCGTCCTTCTCGTCTACAAAGCCCGCCGGCTCCGATACGAGAGCGGCAACTGGGCTTTACATGCGCGGCATGAAGAATGGGACGTGACCCTCAAGGAACTAGGCAACAAATACCTCGTTCGGCCCTTCCAACTGCTAGCCACCCCGATTTGCTTCCTGGTCGCGCTCTACGCATCCTTCGTCTACGGAATCCTCTACCTGAGTCTCGCATCGTTCCCCGTCGAATTCCAGGAAGTCCGCGGCTGGAACCCCGTGGTCGGCGCCCTCCCCTTCCTCTCCTACCTCATTGGCATTCTCTTTGGTGCAGCCCTCAATCTCTTCAACCAGCGGTTCTACATCGAGCGCTTCAGAGCCAACAACAACTTCCCCGTCCCCGAGGCCCGTCTCCCTCCGATGATGGTCGGATCCGTCTTCTTCGCCGCCGGCCTGTTCATCTTCGGCTGGACAGGCGCAAAGAACATCCACTGGATCGGCCCCAACGCCGGCGCCGTCTCCATGGGCTTCGGCTTCTTCACCATCTTCCAGGCCGCCCTGAACTACCTCATCGATACCTTCCAGCAGTACGCCGCCAGCGCCGTCGCAGCAAACACTTTCCTCCGCAGCCTGTTCGCCGGCTGCTTCCCGCTCTTCGCGAGCATCATGTTCCGCAAGATGGGCGTCAACTGGGCGGCCAGCACGCTAGGTTTCGTGGCTGTCGCGCTGATCCCCATCCCGTACCTGTTCTACATCTACGGACCGCGGATCAGGGCACGCGGGAAGTGGTCTCAAGCTTCGGTTTACGGCCATGCTCATGGCCAGTAGATCGTTGCATTTCCATTCTTGTTCAATATTTTCAGATTACTGCATATTTTCAGGTCACATTGAATATACCATCTGCGACTTTTCCTATACCCTTCATCTCCTTGATTTCTTCTGTCGGTTCCCGATTGGCACATGATATTACGAGATACCTCCATGTCCGATGCATCCTACGTCATTTCGTCCCCTGTGCATATTGCATCCGCCTGAAAAGTTTGAATGTAAATAAATACTGGATATTATTACAGACTAGATTCATTAAAAGACGCATATATCCAAAAGATTATCAAGAAGTCAGAAAGATTAAAGCCGCCAATATACACAGCAAACATTATAAGTAAACAGCAGAGTATCCCAAGACAAAAGGGGATGCGTGCGACCACACGATGTGCACGCCAGACAGTAAAGGAAAATAACAATAAGTGAATAGAATTATATGGGAATGTCCTGGCCGATCACCCTCGAGCCGCCAGCGAGCTCCATCTTGTGACCTTTTTCGCCAGAGTCAATGCTTTCCCTAGCGAACTCGAAGTGCCAGTCCTCGCGGCAGGCAAAGGAATCTCCTCAACGGGCACGATTTCTTCCATGGAATCGCTCTTCCGTGGGTTGTGCAGGGTCAAGACGGCCATCTGCCCGAGGAAGGTGGGGTGTTCAAGAAGATCCTCGATGCGAACCTGGAGTCCTTCCTGGTCGAGGAGCCAGACGACCTGTGCCATGTCGAAGACATCGCCTCCAAGTTCGAAGAAGGACGAGTCTAGCTGGAAGGCGGATTGGGGCTCGTCGGCATTATTGCGAGGGAGGACTTGCTGCCAGGCCTGAGTCAGGACGTCGGAGTGGACGAGGATATCCGAGATGCTCCGGTCCTTCAGATGTGAGGAGAGGAACATCTCATCGGACATCCTGGGGACGTCCGGGACGGCTTGACAAGGTAATGAGCGGAGCATGGATGGGGAAGGAAGGCCGATACGGGAGTTGGCCAGCAGGCTTTGCACGGTGTCGCAGACCATGTTCAGGACCTTGGCAGCGAATTTAGGGCTAATGGGGCCCTTCTCTGAGTACCCTAGAGAGACACCCAGTTTACCGTCGCTGGACGACTTGGAGAACAACGTCATGTCAGTGAAATTGTCAACGACACCGGCGCCTCCCATTCTGTAGGTAGTGTTGTCTAGCTGCATCTGGCCCTCATATCCGACATTCTGGTGGAAGACCGAGGTGGCGAAATATGTCGAGCTGGGCCAGTCAGTGCAGCGCCTGATGATCTCTCTGAAACCCAAGGCTTCGAAGGGCATATTTGCGATCTGCTGATCTTGTAGATAGCGGAACAGATCTACACCAGTCCAGCCCTCTTTGAAAGTGACTCGAATTGGGATCACATTGAGACATGGGCCAACGGTGTTTTCAATGCCTGGGATTGAAGTATTTCTGCCGCTGATCGTGAGTCCGAAGACGACGTCTGACTGAGCGGACAGCTTGGCGAGCGTAACCGCCCATGCTGCTTGCATGACGGTAGCAATGGTGACATTCTCAAGGACTGAGGGTTGGATCTCCAGAGTCTTTCTTTGCTCCGTGAAAGCACCAATATAGCGATAGGTATTCTCCTCGGTTCTTCGAATTACCTGCGTCATTCTCGATCCCTTCAACAGGTTTGTCCAGTGCTGATAGTGGTCTGGGGTGATTGCTCCCGACAGCATGCGCATGTAATTTGCAAATGAAGGAGCCGGGGGCAGAGTACTGCCCTCATATCCCAATTTGATGGCTGACATGATGGTGGGCAGGCATAGTCCGTCGAATTGAGCATGCGACATTCTAATCAGGATTCGGTGGTGGTTGCTGCCCTTCTTCTTCACGACGTAGAACTGCACGTACTGTTCTCCTTGCCGCGCCTCCTGCTCGCGATCTTGCTGTTGGAGGTACTCAGTGTACTCATCCAAGCTCTTCTCGGTCTCGTGAATAAAGATATTTGGCCGTATTTTTCTAAGCACCACTTGGAAGAATTGGCCATTGAAGCAGACAAAGACCGTTCGGAGTATGTCGAAAGCATCAACAACGCGCAAGAGGCTCTCCCTCAACCTTCTCAGATCCAGCGATCCTCGTCCATCGAAGAAAAAGTAGTTCAACATCCAGCGGGACTTGAACAATGTAGCCGTAATCGACATGGATTGGAAGTCTGTAACAGGCAAAACGTCGGCAATACCTCCTTTAAACACACCGATCTTCGGGCATATTGCATTCTGCAGAGCGCTGTCGTTCAAAGGAACGGTCTTCAAGAGTGAAATCTCCGGTGGCGGTGGGTTTCGCTCTTGCTCAACCATCTTAGGAGGTTCTGCTTGCCTCTCATTGTCACTGTCGGTCTGAGAGTCAGGTTCCGAAGCAGACGAACTGTTGGAAGCACTGACGACCGCCAGCATATCTTCAAAGACAGGATTGTTGAAAACATCAGCCACAGTCAATGTCAGCCCAGCTTCGCGCGCAGCGCTGACCATCTTCATCGCAGTTATACTATCACCGCCCAATTTGAAGAAGCTCGCCTGGTGTTGGATAGTGTGGGATGACAGACCCAATGCCGAGCACCAAAGTTTCCATAATCTTTTTTCTAGGTCCGCTAACTTTGAGTGATCCTCTGTGAGAGTTGCCGTCGAGTCAGAGAGATCTCTTTCACGGGGCACGCTTCTCGCCTTAACCGCAACATGAACGGGTTCGACGGGGGTCGTCTCCTTGAACCGGCCCTTTCCACTCTCAACGGCGGGTATGGCCAGTGTTCCTTCCTTGAGCATTTGGCTAATTATTTCAGTGACACGGCGATCGATCAGCTCCTGAAGGGACTTGCTGTCAATGAATTGGCCAGCTCCCGAGGAGTGCCCCTTCATCCATTGTCCGCCACGGAGGTTCAACTCTGAGACTAGCTGAGACGGCTTGTCAATGAAGCAACTGAAAATATTGGCAATGGCATCTGCAAGATCATTTGCTTTGTCTCCGGGCACAGCATCGGTCCAGTATCGTAGCAAGATCCCTTCGTGGCCTTTGGCAGTCTCGACGTTCACGGTGACAGGGTACTGTTGCAGAAGTTACCTTTCCGTTAACTAGAGCAGCTTAAGTAAAACTTACCTCTGTCGGGTCATGCGCCTTCTGTACATTGAAGGAGAGCAAGTCGTTTCCAGATTCTTCCGAGACGGCGTGGTGGTTTTGAATGGAGATTGTCGTGTTAAAGAGCTCTTTTTGCCCAAGTTCATGCTGAATACTTGCGAGAGAACAATCCTGGTATGGAAGGTTCTTGATGTAGTCGTCTTGCACTGTCTTTGAAATTTCCAACAGAGTCTTCCCTGGTGAGAACCTGACTCGACAGCAGAGCATGTTGAGGAATATTCCGACTGCTTCTTGAATCCCCGGAACTGGAGCGTCACGACCGGCAGAAGGGTAACCAAAGCAAACATCATCCGAACCCGTGAAGCTCTGCAAGACGATTGCCCATGCAGCGAGTGTAAGATTTGCAAGTGTTACGGAGTTCTTCTCACAGAATTGTTGCAGCTCGGAATACCTGCTGAACGGCACCATCACTGATCCTAATTGACGGCTATCACTTGCTTCCTCGGAGAACGTCAGATGGCACGGACGAGCATCGGACAAGTATTGCCTCCAGTGGGATAAAGCTTGGTCTTGAGATTTCCCGCGGATGAACTTGATATAGTCACTGAAGTGCGGCCCGGATCCTTCTGGCAGCCGATGCTTGTATGCCATTGCTAGATCTCTCAAAAGCAGATCAACTGATCCGCCATCTATGATGGCATGGTTCATTTCCAGTTTGATAAGCACCCGTCCAGAATGGGTACTGCAAATTGTCAACTGGTGCAACAGCTGTGAGTTTCGTCCGGCGTTCATGTCACTTAGTTTGACTGCATCGAGCTTGGCAAGAGCATCGGAATCGTTGCAGTGAAGAGTGATTGCTCCTTCCTGGACTTTCCTGAGCACCAATTGATCGAAGGTACCGTTTGCGTAATTGCTGTCGATGAACAGGGTTCTCAGGATGGGATGCCGGTTGATAACTGCTGACCATGCGCTTCGAAGACTGTTTGGATCTACTTTGGAGCTTCCTTCAGGAGAGCGCACTTCGAAGATCACATGGAACATGTACGCACTGGGGTCCCGAAGCTGGCTCAGGAGAATACCCTCTTGCACTGACGAGCATGGATAGATATCCTCTACTTGGCTCCAGGCCTTTATCCCTGCTCTTGGCAGCGTTGTGCTCGTGAGTTTCTTGAGCCCATCGTAGGTTATAGGGAGCAAGGGGAAGTCGCTGAGTGTTGGTTCCGGGACGGAATCCTTGAAACGAAGCACATCTCTCTCAAGTACTCTCCTGCACTCTGAAATCCATTCGAAGATCTGCTTTTCACGTTTCATCTGCCGATTGTACGTGAACGAGACCTGAAGCTTATCATTGACGACCAGTGCTGAGATCTCCAGGAGGGCGAACCGGGGTGTATCTGGACCCATGTCTCCAGCTAATCTGAACTTCTCCTCGTCGAACGCCTCTCCATAGTGCTTGAAAAGAGAGTCATCGCGCTCCAGTTGCTGCAGTCGGCCAAGATAGTTGAAGACGATCTCCAACGGAACAGGGAACTCCGATGGCTCGGTATTACTGGACTGGAGAAGGCTGCGAGCGAAGTAAGATCGCCCATTGTTCTTTATCTTCCGTCTTAGGTCCTTGACGCGTTTTGCCGTGTCGATGAAATCTGAGTCTTAAATTAGCCTGTCGCCTCGGATCTGTTGTGAGGGGACTTACCTGAACATTCGTCGACCTGCAGTGGGCACAATGTGGTGAACCAACCCACAGTCCGTGAGAGATCAAGGTTGGAATCCCACGATTCACGACCGTGACCCTCGTTATATATGGTTGGCATTCCGCGATCTGTGAAGACCCGACAGAATGACTGCGCAACTGCGGCGAGGAGAATATCGATCGTTTCTGTGCGCAGCGTCTCGTGGCAGGCACCCAGAATAAATGAAGTAATGTCTTCGTCCACGAAAAATGATTCCATCCTGATTTGTCCATAGTGGTTGGGCACGCTCTCCATACCCCAGTAGCTAAGGTTCGGAGGCTCAATGGCAAATGGAAGCTTGGCCTCATCTGTTTCAGATCTGGTATTTTCGAGTTGCAGTTTGCACCAGCTCTGGAAAGAAAACGGTTTCTCAGAAGGCAGCGAGCCGGTTTCGATAAATTCTTGCATGTCCTGAAGGATAATGCGCCATGAAACCATATCGACACACAGGTGATTGGCCACAAGGAAAAGGATTTGTTCGTCACCATTAATGTTGAACAAATCAGCCGCAAGGATCGGTCCATTCTCGATATCCAGAGACGACTGGGTATTGGCAATCTTGCTCAACATCTCATGGGAGCTCATGACCGCGTGAATACCAACACGAACAGATGAATCGACATCCTGCATGATCGTTTAGCTACTTTAACATCAACTCAGTAAGTTGATTTGCACGTACATTGGTAATCCGTTGCTGCCATTTTCCAATAGCAGATCTGCTGAATCTTGCCCTAAGCATGGAATGCTGGTTGGCAATTGCCTTCAGTGCATCCTTGATGACGTTTGGCCCAACTTTTCGAGTAATGCGCACAGTCATACTCTGATTGAAGCGACCCGTTTCCTTGAATGTGCGTGATGATTTGAAGTACAAGTTTTGAATAGGAGAAAGTGAGAAGTATTCATCCGCCTTTTCCTCGACTTGAATGCTCGAGGTCTTGACTTCCGCTGCTTGGGTCAGCTCAACGATTGACTTGCTTTGAAGGATCTTATGAAGTGTCAGGTTAAGCCCTTGTTTGCGAGCTCGAGAAATGACAGCCATGCCAGTAATGCTATCGCCACCTGTGTTGATGAGTTAGCCTATTCTCTCGCTTCTTCGTGAGAAGACCGTGATCGCTTACCAAGGCTCACGAACGACCGGTTGGGATCAACCTTGTTTGAAGGGAGGTTGAGTACTTGGGCGTAGATGTCTTGTAAGATAGTGACAGATGTGTTCTTATCTTCCCTGACGCTGTCCTCAACATGACCCCTCTTGATGTTGTCATAGTCTTGCATGATCCTGTCATACGCTGGCTCGTCAATATGCTCAATCCAGTGAGTGATCTTCTTTCTGTCCAGTTTTCCGGAAACAAGCATTGGCAACTTCTTGATGACAGCCCAGGTTTGGGGAACCATGTAAATGGGCAACTGGGCCTCGAGATTCTTCTGAATCGTGATGAGTTCAGGATACGCGACTCTCGCCAGATTCTCTCGACTGATGAGCTCGCATGCGTTATCAGATATGATGCTCGAATCTGATTTCAGAGAGTTCAGGGAGAGGATTGTGACCAGACGCCCCTTAAGAAGACCCTCCTTGGGCAGGATGACAACAGCATGACGGACGCTGTCATCCTCATGTAACCGATGCTCAATTTCGCCGAGCTCCATACGCTGTCCATGAAGCTTGACTTGGTGGTCTTTGCGGCTGATGTATTCCACCGATCCGTCAGGATTATACCGGACAAGATCTCCAGTCTTGTATATTCTTCGCGGAGACGGCAGGGTCGACCGGAAATGCTTCATCCATGCGGGCTCATCCACGAATGCCTCAGCGGTCTTCTTGGGGTTCTTGAGATATTCTCTTGCCAGAGCAGGACCCTCCAAAGCCAGTTCTCCGATGGCTCCCAAGGGGGTAAGTCGATCGTGGTTTTCGGGATCGACAACCCAGGTCAAAGTACAAGGTATTCCGTAACCAATGCAGGCAGGATCGGTGGTTGGGGATACGTTATTCAAGACAGCGAAGATGGTTGTCTCCGTGGGTCCATATCCGTTGATTAGTTTCACGCGATGCGCCCATTTTGTCACAACTTCGCGTGACAATTTCTCTCCTCCACAGGCAAGCACTTCCAGGGAGGGAACGGTTGACGGCTCGATAATGCTGGCTATCGATGGAGTCAGGAAAGTCCAAGTGACATTCATACGCCGAATGGCGCCGGCGACATCATTCAGGCGCTCGTCCTCGCTTGGGATACAAATGCATCCTCCGTGCATCAGAGTAGCTAGAATTTCCATGACTGCCGCATCGAAGGTAAGAGACGCAAATTGGAAAGCACGAGAAGTCTCATTCAGGTGCACAATCGGCCCGAATGCCATAGCGCTGCTTGCCAGTGCGCGGTGGTCGATGATAATACCCTTGGCACGACCAGTGCTTCCTGATGTGAAGATTGCGTAGGCCATATTGGACGGCGAGACACGGCTTTGTCCCTTCGCCTGACCATTCAGGGCACCGTAAGCTCTGATCGTCTCCTTACTGACGGGAATGATTGTTTTGACAATGCCCGAGTAACGACTCTGATATTGAGAGGAGCAAAGAAGAATACGAGCATCCACTTCGGCGAGGATTTCTTCATGTCTCGATGTTGGATGAGCAGGATCGAGGGGTACGTAGGCACCACCAGCAATCAAGATCCCGAGAATAGTGATGATTGCCCATAGAGACTTATCAAGGCAAATTGGCACCATAGTCTCTGGTCCAACGCCACGAGAGACCAGATAGGACGCGAAAGACGATGCGAGTGCGCACATCTCTCTATATGTGACCTCGCCATCCCAAGCACATACAGCTGGAGCATCGGGGTGGGTAGAGCATCTCTCGGAAATGATATCGTGAGCACATTTCTCCACGGCCTCGGGGTGCCTCTTGTTCCATAAGGCGACTTCGTTTCTATCAAGCGGGCTGAAAATCTCGAGCTCGCTCAGCTTCCTTGTATCACCCTTGCTGATGGACAGCAGCTGCTCGAGCACAAAGCTGAAATGCCCGATAAGCTTCTCAGTCTGCCAGCTGTTCAGCACGATTTCGTCATGGTGCATCGTAATCGACACCTCAGAAGTGGTAACCTTGCATTCGACGACAAGTGGATGAGTGAAGAAGTCTCCGCTTGTTTGGTTTGGTTCAGCCACCCACAAGCCTTTGTGCAACTGACCCTCTCCAGTCTGAATGACAAGCAGATTTTGAAATTCGCAAGCCGATGCTGTGTCACTATTGAGTTTTCGAATTCGTTGTAGTCCTGAATGCTGATGAGGAAGCATTGTGGTGGTCAGATGATGCACATTCTCCAGATACTGGGTGATGGGAAGCTCGTTCTCGACTTGGATACGCGTGGGAACCGTGGTGAGAACGGGTCCAGCAATATCTGTAACACCCGCAAGGTCGATATTTCTTCCCATCAGGGTCTCGCCGAAGCATACATCACCTGATCCAGTATGAGCCGAGATAACAATCGCCCACGCAGCACGAATAAGCTCGGGTAGTGTCAGATCAACTCCGCTCGCGGCTCGAGAGATCTTCATGCTGCTGTGATGCCGATTTCCTACTCGGACAGAGTCCGGCAGGGAGTTCTTGCTTTGTGGGAATGGAGAACATGACAGGTTGGCCAGTTGAGACTTCCAGTACTCGTCAGAGTCTGACATGTTTCGCTCCAGCAAATAGTTTATGAACAAGCTGTAGGGAGCCGTTCGGGCACTGGCCGTAGAATTAGTGTAAATTTCCTCCACTCTCCGCAGGACGAGCGGGATACTCCATCCATCGTACAGCGCATGATGGATTGTCCAACAGAAGAACCGGTCAGTCTGTGATTCGGCAATTGCGTAACCAGCCAACCGCCCGCCATTGTGTTTCGGCAGCTCGGGGCTCTCAGCTATCAATTCATCCAGAGCGGTTGCGGAGACCCAAGAGATCTCCTCTTTGTCCACAACTGCCTGCAAGAAGTTCAAAGACTCAGTATATACAATACGAGTCCGCAGGATATCCAACTCGTCCACAGCCTGTTGCCAAGAAGCTTTGAACTTCTCGAGATCTATTCCGTCTGAGAGCCGGAAAATTGGCTGAGCAATATAAGCACCGTTCTGCTTGACTGACAAAGTGATGAGACCCTCCTGTACAGGGCTGCATGGGTAAAGATCGACAATAGATGCTCGAGGTACGTCACATTGATCTGCGACTTCCTCCAAGAGTTGTTCACGATCGACTGCGGAAGGCAGCAGGCTAAACGGAGTCACAGTCTGTCTGCTGGACGTTTCTTGCAACATGCCGCAACGCTTAGCCATATTCATAAAGACTGGGTCCTCGTAAACGTTGGCAAACGTGAGAGAGATTCCCCGAGAATTGGCGGCTCCAACAAGCTTCATGGCGGAGAAAGAATCACCACCTAAGCTGAAAAAACTGTCTTCAGCACTGACAGAACCTGCCGCAAGGCCCAGAGCTTCCTCCCAGAGGCTTCTGAGTATCCCCTCAACTCCCTCGTCAGACACTTGTCTGGAGCCAGCTGTCAATGTAACGTAAGGCTTGAGCTGATCTTTGGGCAGAGTCTCAACTGTTGCTCGTAGCTTCTTGCGATCGAGCTTTCCCGAGTTTGAGAAAGGCAGGCGGAAGACTGGGAAGAAAAGCTTTGGTATCAAACTTGCTGGCAGAGCCTTGGTCAAGGCCTCCCTAAGCTTTCTGACCTTTTCGCCTGTTGCTTCTGACATAGGAACGAGCAATTGAGAATCCAGATCAGCTCTGTCTAGTCCAGTTTGATCGTCAAAAGTAAAGAATGCTGCGATGGATCTAGCAACTGTCTTCGATTCAGGCTCGACAACCTCGACAGCCACCTGAGTGCCTCCAGGAAGATAAGAGATGCATTGTTGTTCGATTTCTTCCAGTTCAATGCGCTGACCGTTGAACTTGATCTGGGTGTCCTTGCGCGAGATGAAGCAAATTGTGCCATCCGGATTATAGCGGACAAGATCACCAGTCCGATACATGCGCTCCTTTCTCTTGAATATTCCCTGAAAGCCTGGGGCCTTCGTCCAGGCAGGCTCACTGATAAATGCTTCTTTTGTCTTCTGGTCATTGTTGAGGTAACCACGGGCAACGTTGCAGCCCTCAAGTACCAGCTCACCCACAGCCCCGATAGGCAGAAGACGCTGATAGTTGTTAGGGTCAACCACCCAAGTGCGGCCGCAAATTGCAGCACCGATTGAGTTGCAATCATTGTTAACGCGTACTCCTGCTTCATCCACTTTGACACTCATCGTTGCCATAATGGTCGACTCAGAGGGCCCATACGCGTTGATGACACACCTATCGGACCAACGGTTGATATGGCTCGCTGTCATCTTTTCACCTCCCGAAACAATAGTTCTCACTGATGGGACACTATTGGGTTGGATCGTGTTTGCAATTGACGGAGGGTAACTGACGAAGTTGGCGTTCAGTCTCCTGATCGCACCGGCCAGGTCGTTCATGCGCTCTTCTTCACTGGGAACGCAAACACAACCTCCCGTCATGAGGACAATAATAATCTCCTTTATGCTCACATCAAAAGTATAACTGGAGAACTGCAGAGCACGGGTAGTCGTGTCCATTCCCAGGCTACGAGCAAAAGCTGGTGCAGACACGCTGAGAGCAATGTGCTCAAGAACAGTCACTTTTGGCTTGCCTGTTGTTCCAGATGTGAAAATAGCGTAAGCTGCGTTGTGGATGCTGGGCTGCGTCAACGACCCAGTAGACGATGCGTTTGGCAGTTCATTGAGGGTTAGTTCGCTCACGATGTAGGCGGCACGAGATATCTGGCGAGCCTTATCGAGATATTTGGCAGAGCAAAGGACGACGGGAGCGCCAATATCGTCAACCAAGCCCCTAAGTCTCGCTTCTGGATGAGTGGGATCCAGAGATGCGAATGCTCCTCCAGCTTTCAGAACCGCAACCTGTGCGATGACTGCCCAAGCGGACTTTTCAAAGCATAATCCAACAAACACCTCGGGTTTAACCCCCAGGCGAACAAGATGCTTTGCCAATTTAGTTGATAGACGGTCGAGTTGTTCGTAAGTAAAGTCGCCGTCCCACGAACAGATTGCAGGCGAAGTAGGGTGACTCAGCACCTGCTGCTCAATTATCTCATGTGCGCATCTGTCAGGTCTCTCTGGTAGCGTAGCGTTCCACTCTCGTACTTGTTGACAAGCACGTTCGCTGAAGAAATTGATATCCCCTATCTTATGGTCGACAGGGTCATTGTCAATAATCTCCTCCAGAATGTGCTGGAAGCAATCAACGACACTCGTAATATTGGCTTTTGACAAGGCGTCTGTCCGGTATTCAAAGAGGATTTCTGCAGATACAGATGAAAATCTAGGGTTGACAGCAACCGTGCAGACGCCTCTCTCGGTGTCGTTCAGCAGGGTTGATAGGCCGTTATTGTCACTGGGAAGCTCGATAAACCTGTCGAACTTGAAGACAGTGTTGAAGAGTGAATACACGTCCAGACCAAGTTCATGCTGCACTTCCATCTGGGAAATACTGTGCTCCATCGCTTGATCCAATTCGCGCTTCCTCTGCTGTGCAATTGACCCAAAGACTGAGTCATCCTTGAGAAGAAGCCTGCCTGGTAGTACTTTCAGGTACTTCGATCCTTCTGGTTGTGGTGTTTCAAGGTAGTAACCATAGCAGACTTCTTCTGAACCGGTATAGCATCGCAGAACCAACCCCCAAACGAGCTGTAGCACAATGTCCTCGGTTACTTCAATCTTCTGGCAAAAGCTGCGTAAATTGGCCTGATTTTCGATCGCCAGTTTTGCCGAGTTAAATCCACTTCTTTTGTTGTCCGGATTCAAAGAAGGGAAAGCACAGGGCTCGACATCAACAAGGTACTTCCTCCAGTAGGCAGTATCAGGGCTGGACAAGTAAGAGGTCTGGTTCTTGCGGAGAGCCATGCCACCGATCGTCTCTTGAGAACTGAGATCCGTCTTCAAGTATTCAACGTAGCGTGCGAATTGTGCCAAAATACGCTCAAGCTGAGGAGCAGACAAAAACTCTTCGTCGTAGCAAGCGCTCAGCTGAAGCTCCGACTTTGCGACACTGCAGAAGATCGCTAAAGGATATGCGAGAGCAGGAATCTGCACCTCGCAGTCGGTTCTCGCAAAGCAGAAAAGGTTATTGAAGCTGCACGCACGGGAAGTATCCGCGCTGATGTTTCTGATGCGTTGAAGTCCAGCTCTCTGGAAGGGAGAAGCAGCTGCTAGGCGCTCTTGAGTCTTTCCCATGAGTTCCGCTATGGTCATACTCTCATCCATTCGAAATCTTCTCGGAATCACGGTGGGCGCCGCTTTATCGGAAGTAGAATCCAGCTGGTCGAGAAGCAATTCTCCAAATATGACATCGTCTGATCGAGTATAGCCGGATAAAGTGAGGGCCCATGCGATAAGAAGCGCAGTCTCAAGGCTCGCACGTTCCAAATTGCTGATATCACGCCACTCAATGTTGCCGTTCCATTCGTACGTGCTGGTAGTAGAACTCCTATGGGTAGCACTCGTCGATGAAGGGAATGATTGGGAAGGAGAGGTCTTCGGATTGGCTAATTCAACCCGCCAAAACTCATGGAAGCCTTTCAGATCAAATTCGAGGAGTGTCCGTGCAGGAAGGTCCTGTGTCTCATTCCTCAGAAGCTGACGGTCAAGCAGACCAAGTGATGTCAATGGCATTCTGGGAACGGGAATGTACAACCTCGGAACTTGAGTCGCAGGCAGGGCACTCAGCAGATGCGTGTGCATTTTGGTGATGAAATCAGAAAATTGCGAGGAAGCTTGCCCAATTATAGATCTCTGGCCATCAGCCTTTTCCAAGTGAGTTGACATGAATTGGATGAAGACAGCCAGGTGCTCCGTGGATTCATGGTCATCTGAGCAGCGAATCGGCTCCACAACGCAAGGATGGTCAGGTAACGAAAACGCATCGATGCATTGTTGGATTTCCCATACGTCCACCTGCAGTTTCTGGGTTTGTCTTTCCTTTCTTCCCATGTAGACCAATGTGCCATCCGAGTTGTAGCGTGCCAGGTCTCCGGTCTTGAACATCCGTCGTGTCAGTCTCGAGTTTTCATCACGTTTCTCGTTGTCATTGCTGGCTTCGTCCCGCTCAAAGGTCATAGTCCAAGTAGGGTCCTCAATGAAACCTCCCTGAACATGCCCATTGTCCAGCAAGTACCCAGCAGCGATGGCGGGACCCTCAACGACCACTTCACCGACACTGCCAATCGGAACCAGAAGGTCATGATTCAAAGGATCAACAAGCCAAGTTAGGCACCCGGCCGCAAGTCCAAGGTTCCTTGTCTCACTCGAGGTTTGGCACTCTGAGGCATTAATGCAGCTTGAAGAGCACTCAGCTGCTCCATACAAAGAATGCATACGAACCCTTCCTGACCAAATCTTTCTAACCTGGTTTGTCAGAAGCTCACCATAGAGTGCCAGTACCTGCACATTGGGGACCTCGGATGGCTGCAACAAAGATGCGAGTGACGGAGTCATAATGATTGTGTTTGCTTGGGAGGCATTGATTGATTGTGGGAGGTTGCTGAATCCATCATTGGCTGGAATACAAACACAACCACCACGCATCATCGTACCGAAAAGCACTTGTAGGAACATATCAGACGTGTAGGTGGCGGACTGGTACACCTTGGTCGCTTTATTCACTTCGAGAGCCGAAGCGAAGCTCTCGGCCCGTGTCATAACCGTGAGATGCTGAAGCGTAACACCTTTGGGCTCCTTGACACTACCGCCAGTAAACACAACATAAGCCTGGTGCGTTGCCTTATGTGAGATGTGTGGTATATCATCGGAGCGAGGAAGGTAGTCGAAAAGTGACCTTCCAACGGGCACGACATAAGGAATTGTGCGTTCCAGAAGCTGCGCTTTGTTCGGGGACGCAAGAGCGACTTGAACATCCTCCTCACTCAACAACTTCTCCATAAAATCATATGATTGAGCTTCGTCGACTGGAAGGCAAATACCACCGGCTCTCAGAACCGCTAAGATAGCAACAATTTGCCATGAGGATCTGTCAAAATCAATCGGCACAAAGAGGCCAGGTCCCACGCCGAGCTTGGTCAGATAGAACGCAAGAAGCGAGGACAACTCATTGAGCTTGGCGTAAGTGAGGTTTCCATCCCAAGCTGCGATCACAATAGCTTCCGGGCACTGCTTGGCCTTGTCTTCGAGAATCTCATGGATACACTTGTCAACAGCCTTAGGAAGAATGTTGTTCCAGGTAGCGATCTGTTGCTTGTTCTGTACGCTCAATTGATCCAGTCGGCAAATGTTCTCGTCGCCATGGTGAAGTATGTTTTCGAGGGACCGTAAAAACGTGCTGGCAACATTCTGCGCCTGGCCTTCAGACAGAGAGTTCGTCCAGTAGTTGAGGTCAATGTATGCAACATCATCTGTGGCTTCGATATTGATATATACCGGGAATTCCGCGGGATCATGAATTGATCCCACCTCTACAAGTCGCATCTCATCCCTGTTGCTGAGGGTCTGCGGTGGAAGTTTCCGATAGGAGATGCCTGAGTTGAACAGGATCGTGTCTGAGAGTTTCAAGGCATGCTGGATATCAATGAGGGAAGTGTGCCTGTAAGGTAGACTCTCCATGTAGTCGTTTTGCACTTGATTCAAGACGTCTTTGAGACAGGCGTCCTCTGTGACCTTCATTCGACAAGCCAGAAGATTAATGATCGGTCCGACAACAGAACCAATTTCATCGACCGAGACATCTCTCAAAGAAGCCATGTAGCTGAAACACACATCGTTGGAACCGCAAAATGCGCGGAGTGTAAGTCCCCAAGCCGTACTGAATGCCGTAGAAAGTGTCAATCCATTGCTCTCACATAGCGTCTGAAGCTCTTTCAAGGATGAGAAATCTAGACGAATCGCTTGGAGCCGCTTGTTGGACGGTCTTCCATCGTTGAGCACGGGGAAATGGCACGGCTTAATATCGGAAAGATAAGAGCACCAGTAATTAAGGCCAGCATTGTGAGAGCAGCTCTGCAAGTACCGCAGGTAATCCTTAAACACGGGTTTGCGGTCGTCCCGAAGCTGACCACTGTAAGCCAGTTGCAGATCTCGAATGATCAGGGAAATGGACGTCCCATCCATGGCGGCATGGCTTATCTCAAGTCGGCAAAATATTTTGCCAGTTGCTGTCTCGCAGATACTGAAACGATGAGCAGGACGGTGGTCACGATAGTTCACGGGATGTTGATTCTCAAAGGTTGACAGCACATCACGTTCTTCGGAGCATCTTAGGAGTGCGGGAGCTGGATTGTATTCCTTGAGAACGACTTGACAAAACAAGTTCTGGCTTGTCAGGTTCTCCAGGAAAACTGTTCGTAGCATTGCATGATGCGAAACAACCTTCTGCCAAGCGAGGATCAAACGATCGATGCTAGGTTTGATCCTGACGCCTTTCACTTCGAAGGTATCATGCACAGCATAAACCGAGCTGTCTCGGGACTGGCTGAGAAGAATACCTTGCTGCATGCGCGAGCAAGGATAGACATCCTCAACGAGATCAAGGGAAGTAATACCCGCTCTTGGTAGCTTCACTGAAACCATCTGGTCGAGCTCCTCGTAGGTGAGTGGGAGCATTGGGAAATCACTCAGTGTAGGTTGTGGGGCCAGAGACTGCAGCTTCTGGCCGAGAGAAGCAAGCAGCTGATAGCAACGTGATATCCAGGCGCGAATGCTATCTTGATGCCGCATGAACCGGTTGAAAGAGAAAGTAAACCGAAGTTGTCCTTGCACTACCAACGCTGAAATTTCCAGAAGTGCGAATCGTGGAGTTTCTTCGCCAAAATCTGCTGCACCTCCGCCCTGGCCAGTCTCCCCAGCCATGTGTCCCATAAGCTGGAAAAGGCCGTCCTGCTTCTGCAGATCGCGATGCTGCCCCACGTAGTTGAAAGTCATTTCTAGGGGGCAGTGGTGTCGGCAGGTCTCCTGTCCTTTGCCTGTGAACATGCGACTCGCGAACTTCTGTCGGCCATTATCAGACACCTGCCGACGCAGATCTTTGACACGGGCAACAGTTCTGGCTGGATCATCGGAAAAGATCTCGGGTACGAATATTGGGTAAAGGGTCGTAAACCAGCCCACAGTCCGTGATATGTCTAAGTCCGAATCCCACACTTCTCTGCCATGGCCTTCATTGTAGATCACGGGCAAAGTACGCTCTGGGAAAGTCTGTCCGAATGAGTGCAGGAGAGCAGCGAGAAACAGATCAACCGGCTCTGTCTGTAGACTTTGATGACATTCCAACAAGATCGAGTGAGTGCTATCCGAATCAACCTCGAAAGTCTCACAGACAACATCTCCGTACGTCATCTGACGATGCTCCATTCCCCAGTAGGCAAGATCTGGAGCAGGAAGATCCTCCAATTGCACTCCATTCTCGGAGACCAGAGACTCGCATTGCTCATCTTGCAGGCGACACCATGTCTGGAATGGAAGGGAGCTGTTCTGTAGAACGAAGCCTTGAGGGTTTAGCAGGAAATCTTCCAAGTCCTCCAGAATGATACGCCACGAGACTATGTCAACGACGAGATGATGAGCCACCAGGGATAGGAGATTGTGCGACTCGTCGTCAACATAGCAGAAGTCAGCCGCAAAAACAGGGCCGACGAAGGCATTGATACACAACTGGCTTTCCGCAATAGCATTCTCGATCTCATTCTGCGAGGTTGTATAATGCGTTCGCCAGCGGTACGAGCCAGAGACATCCTCAGTAATGCGCTGCTGTAAAGAACTACCAGTACCGGGATCGACTAGCCGGCTTCGAAGCATGGAATGGCGCATGACCACTGCCTCGACTGCGCGGCGCATGTCTTGGTCGTTGATCTGGCGGTCGATGCGAGTGAGCACACTTTGATTGAAGTAGCCCTGGCCTTCCTTGCGAACCATAAAATGCAGTTTCTGTATAGGGGAGAGCCCAAAAGGTTCCTCGATCGTTTCGTGGTAGGCTACCGGTTCAGTCACTCCCTTGACGCGTGTGGCTAATTCTCTGATGGATTTGCTGCGAAGTATATCCTGCACAGTAAGGCCAATGCCTTGCTTTTTGCAATGGCCAACACAGGTTATCGCCGCAATGGAATCTCCTCCTAGACTCAAAAAGCTTTCGTCAACGCCGATGCGATCCTTGGGTATGTTGAGCACACGACTCCAAATCGACGCCAGTTGATCCTCCGTCGAGTTAGCGGCCCGAGTATTGGCGGCCTCAGTAACATGTACTTCTGGGTTTTCTGACATGTTCGAAACCCAGGTCGTAATAGATTTCCGATCTAATTTACCAGACACAAGCAACGGCAAAGTCTCGACACATAGCCAGACTCCGGGCACCATGTATGTCGGCAGCCTAGTTGACAATCGTTCCCGAATATCCTTGACATATTGAAGCTTCTCACGATGCTTGATAAGCTTAAGGGGCACCGCATCTGTCTCCAGTGCCTCTCCAAGGCCAACGGACAGTGACAGGACGGCAACGAGTTTTCCATGTGCGAACCCGGACTTGGGAAGCAACACTATGCAGTGCTTGATGTCCGTGTCTGCGCTCAGCTGGTTCTCAATCTCTCCAAGCTCAACTCTCTGACCATGGAACTTGACCTGTGCGTCTTTCCGTCCTAAATACGTTAACGATCCAGATTCGGAATTGTATCTTACCAAATCACCGGTCTTGTAAAACCTTCGGTCTGAGCCACCAGCAGGATCTCGCTTCGTCCAGCAAGGGTTGAAAATAAATGCTTCGTTCGTCTTCTGTGGGTTATTTATGTAACATCGCGCAAGCGTTGGTCCTTCCAGGACCAGCTCACCGGGGCAACCGACAGGCACAAGCTGGTCATGATTCGCAGGGTTTACGACCCAGCAGCGCACTCCGACTGGCAAGCCAATATCCCTGCAATCTGAAGAAGGAGACATATCAGGATTGAGGGCAGCTGCAACAGAACTCTCTGTTGGGCCGTATCCGTTCACAAGCTTGAGATGAGACCATGTCGCCAAATGTTGCGGAGACATTGCTTCGCCAGCTAGGACGAGACCCTCTAGCCCTGGAACAGCCGCAGGATCGAGGAATCCAATAAATGATGGTGTCAGAGATGCATGATTCACTTTCATCTCGTTTATCACGCCGGCAATGTCATTCAGACGTGCTTCTTCGCTAGGGATGCAGATGCAACAACCGAATATTAACGAGCTGAGGATATCGACTAAACTTGCGTCAAAGGTATGCGATGCAAATTGTAAAACTCGAGTTGATGGATTGAAGCCAAACACTGGTCCATGAGCCAGCGCACTTGAAACATATGCTCTATGCTCCAGCAGTGTGCCCTGTTCTTGAGTCAACACCAAGGTGACCGAATTGGAATTGAAGGAGACGCACCTTTGGTTGTCCAGTAGAGCCGGAGGTAAAAATGGCATATGCTGCGTTTGAGCTCTTTACCGTCGCCGAGGAGAAAGTACCTGTGGGAAGACCCGGAAGGCCATCGACGGTTTGCTCGTCCAACGGTATTAGTGTTTCTGCCACCGTTTGGAGCTTGTCTGCTTGACTTCGAGAGCAAAGCATAATCCGCGCCTGCACGCCTTGCACGAGGGATTGCAATCGTGCTGTAGGATGAGTTGGGTCCATAGGTACGAAAGCACCGCCAGCTTTCAGGACAGCGAGCGTCGCCACGATATTCCATTTCTATGTTATCTATTAGCACTGCAATTTGAGAGCAGAGCTCGACCGAGTATGTTAAGTCATATAATGAAATGACGATGCCCGGCAAGCTATATCACTTGGAAATCTGTAACACTTACCGACTTCTCGAAACAGAGGGCTACGCAGACCTCTGGGCCAACTCCTCTTTCCTGAAGATCATATGCAACCTTGGAGGAAAGCGAATCCAATTCTTTGTAGGTAAGACTACCATCCCAGGCGCAGACCGCCTCATTCTCTGGCTGGAGAAGAGTCCGCTCATGGATCACTTCATGAATGCAGCGTTCGTGCTTTTCTGGAAGCACTGAATTGAATTTGCATACTCGAGACCAATCATTTTCTGGAAAGATGTCAAGATCGTCCACTACTGTATCTTTTGCTGTAAGGAGATCTGCTAGGATATGCTCAAAAGCACCAGCAATGCTTTTCATTTGCGCGGTGGGCATGTCATTGTTCCACCATTCGAAGAAAATATTTACCTCCTCCTGCAGGACTTTGACATGTAGTCGAACCCGACACTGCAGATATGTTTCAGAAGGTTGCACGGGAAGATAAAGGACCTGTCTCTCAGTACTTACCTCCTGAGGAAGCGCTATTGGCAGGCTGGATGGTAGTGGGATGGCGGGTGAGGTTCCCTTAGAATCATGACAGATTCGTATCATCAAAATTGTGTTGAAAAGCAGGGCATTTTCAGAGGCTGTGAGCGGGCTTCTGTCTATTTCGGGAGGACTGTCGATAGAGTTGTTTGTCTTCACATGGTCGAAAAACGTCTTAAGGGAGACGCCTTCTTTGACTGATAATTTGAGGATGGCAGGATCCACAGCCTCCAAAGATTGTACTAAATCTTGAGACTCGTTACCAATCTGATGGTAGCCAAAGCAGATATCTTCAGAGCCTGTGTAGCGATGTAGAAGTAGGGCCCACGAGGCCTGTAACAAGTGGCTCAATTGGCCTTCGCGCCATGCGGACAGCAATCCAGAGCTTTGACGAGTATCCGTTCGCAGTTTCATGGAGATAGGGCGTTTCGGGCCATCATACGTAGCACCAAATTTGGGTAAATAACATGGGACGGTTGACTGCGCCATGGTTCTGTACAATATCTGCTTAATTAAGGCCCCTCGAGGAACAAGGTGTTCAATGTCAAGACAAACAGAGAACGTTACTTGACGAAAGTGAGCGCCGTACGTCCTTTGGTCTTTCTTTAAAGTGAAAGCTAAGATTCATTGCTTCCATATGGTCATCAAGTCATCGACATCTCGCTTGAGACCCAGGCCGAATTAGGCTCGTGGAGCTAGCGACGCAGATTCTTTGTAGCTTTTGCCCAGAAGTTACAATCTAACCAAACTATAATTATAGAATACGAGGATCCATTTGCCTCATGGCAATGAACCTGACGGCTGAGAGCTGCGGGAGAACCCCTTGGGGCGTCAGGGGGCTCTGATCAGCCGTGATCCCCTCCTGTTGCCTCCGTGTTTTCGCATCACTTTTTCCTTGCTTCTGGCCCGTGGCCACAGGAACAGGAGGGTCGGAGAAACAAGATCAATAGGTTGCAAGATATCCTGCAATGGGGCCAAGTGTGGAACTAATGGACACGGAATCCGCATAGCCTTGGAAAGAAGGCAACTCCACAAGGTGGCGTATCGTATATCTGACGAAAGAATAATGGCAGAAAAGAACTGCAGGGGTTACAAGGGACATGGGTACCATCTGCCACTCACGATGAGCTGCAAGCGAGAAGATCGGCCAGGAAGGCCCCTGTTTGCATATTCCCGCGCACGATCTGGGGCATTCATCCGCGGTCTGGAACCCAATCTCGATGAACGATGAAGTATGACAAGAATCAAGGATGTTTTTGGTCCGGCTGATGGATGTACCTACGTACGGTAGGAGGTATCTAGCAGGAGATGGCCCACTGGTACTCCGAACATTCAATCGAATCACAACAGAAGTTCAGGGCTTAATTGACACGTAGCCTCCTTGTTGGGAGGAACAACACTCAGAGTGGATAAAAAATAGGATCCCAGGTCTGATCTGGACACGAGTCGGACTGAGAGCCTGGGAGCTCAGACTCGGAAGAAGCTTTGTAGAGGTACGGTGAAGGACAAAGAGGGTACTTTCCCAATCAGGAAGTCAGATTATAATTGACTGATTGGTCCACGCTAGCTACTACGGTGTTGAAGTACCGGAAAGGCTGATTTTACCAGGATTTTTTTTATTATTGCTTGGTCAAGGTATAATCAACGTCTACCTAGCGAATGTTATACCCACACCCTTACACAAGCGATAGAACCACATTCAGCCCCACGACAAGAGATTCAGCATCCTGTCCAGCATCTATTATTACTGGATCCAGGGTTCGTTGAAAATCACCCTGGTCAAGAACGGGAGCGGTCCACTTTCAGTGTAGTCCCTCATCTCCATGACCGGGCTTCCTGCAAGGGAAACAAAAGACAGTTAGGCTATTGGCCGTTAATTTCGCTTTGAAAGAAATATCTAAAACTATTTACTGAAGAAACAAGGCAAATACAAGATTGAGGAGCATCAAGGCACTGACTGGTTAGTGGATTGGAGCTATGATGCAGTATGACTCGCTAGTCTTTCGAGTAGAGGTAGAAAGAAAGTCAAAAGAACAGAAGTACCTCTCTAGTTGATACTTCAAAAGGAAAAAGAAAAACCAAGTTTCACAGCACTTTACAATCTGCTTACATTGCCATGTAATGTTGCCATTACCTTAGGTACCTCTTTACCTACTCATCAACAGTGACCCTGAGAGGTTGCATTCAAAAAGCCTACAATGATACTATTATTATTGCTCCCCGAAGATCGATTTTGACACGTCTCTCTCGCTTAGATACTGTACAAAACCATATCCCTTGATTGCATGTCATGAGACAGCTCGCTACCTCTTCGGGATATGTTGAACCTTACGGCTTGTGCGTGCCGATGTGTAAAATGCAAAATGTCCGATCCCGACTCAATGGAACAAAAATAAATACTAGTTCAGTATCCACAGGACTGCGGGTACTAGTCTAGATATCAATACAACGTGCTGACAGTCCTACGGTTGATGATCTCTATCATTTTTAGGTAATTTTGGAGAACATTCCACGAACTGAAGTGGCCCCGTATGAACTGGTGTGATGCCGGGCAAATCCGATACCAATAAGCTCCATCAGGATGCGTTCCTGTCTCTATCCACCTCAGATTTGATCTCGACATTTGATATTAGATATTATTAATCATGCTGTTGTTAATAATTAATGGGGACTAGAGTATCCGACACTAAAAACTATTACGATGCAAGGGAGACCAGGAAGCGACGCTCGCTTAGAAGCTTTTCCTCCTGAGCGTCAGTGTTTAATTTGACATGCATAAGCTGGAGGCAGGGCCATGAAGAGTTGGCGTAAGCGCCCGATTTCTACTCAAATCGGAGGTCCTTTAAGTTTTGCTTGCACCGCCAGTTCATGGCGTATTCTATAGAACATAAATATTCTAACCCGCTTTGGAAGATCTTCTACTGGCTAACGACAGCTCGTAAATGTCCGGCTGTTCGAGAAATAATTTAAGCACATAGTGATGCACCAGGTCATGTAATCCTATCGATCTCGTTTGGTAACAGAAATTGTTAATTTATCTGCAGGATAATTGTCATTATAGACTTCTCTCACTGTAGAAATCAGAAATTCTCCCAAATAGGTTAAAACGTGGGTAACTTATTACTCCGATGGGGCTGTAAGCAAATTATACCAGTTTAGAGTAGCTACTCGCAAGAAGTCTTACCTAAGTTACCTAAGCCCTCTTAGCCTCCTTGGATCTGTTTGCTACCCAGATGTCTTAGATTTGGCACGACGCTAGTATGAAAGAGCTTTAAAGCCATTCTACTTTTTCTAACTAATATTATTATTACAAACCATGATATTATCATGATGTTATGATCGGCAATGGGTTCCACTCCAAGCTGTCCTACAGATCGTCCTTGACACTTTGACAGTCACTCGAAAAGATTGACATATGACATGTCAAGTAGCGGAGGGTACGGGTAAATGTCGCGTGATTGTATCCGTGGTATGCATTCCGTAACATTTATTATTAATAGAACAAAAGCAGAAAAAGCAACAGTCAGTAACTAACCGACTTCGAAAAGCTACGATCAGGGATCTCAAACTCAACAACTGATCTCCACGGAGACTGAAAACAAGGTAGTGAACCAGACTATCTTAGCTTCCGCGATGCGTACCTGAGCCAGAGTAAACTTCCGGCCATTTCCATGTATTTTAACTTTCTGGACGGGATCTCTGCTTAGTGTCTGGCGGAACTACTCCGTGTCTCAAGGAGACAAAGTCTAGAGGTGCCAATAAAGTAGGATTTGTGTGGTGGACGAATTTTTTAATAATGGGCAACTAATATTAGGTAGTGAACAAACAAGGTGCCGATATGGAAGCGCCCCAGTCTCGGCTTCCGTCGGCGCCTCCTTACCTACTCCGTATTAGCTATCCAGTACCTTCGTGAAGTACTTTGTACAAGTCAACAGACTGCCTGTCTTCCGGCTAGACTAAGGCAGAAACCCTGTCAAGTACCCAGAACTATTTGCGTGGTCTCTCATACTATTCCACAGCTCCGTCATCCGCCTCTGTACTGGCTTCTAGGCCAACTGGCTGTCAATAATGGCGCTCTTTAAATCCCGGCTTCAACAATCCCTGAGCGGCAGCCACATTTCAATCCTGGTGCATCAGCGGCTGCAGAAATCAAGAGAAACCAAGATGCCAGCACGTTCCATTTGACGCCCCCAACGCCCCGTCCGATTGTCCGTCGGTCACGACGTCTTTCATGCCTGGTAGTTTTCAACCCTACAGAGTACGGTGTCTACTAGATGACCTTGTATCTGTGACTTTGACTATGCGGTGAGGATGAAGCCACTGAGACATCTCGCCATGGCGTGCCGCCAACACGCCACCAATAACAGGGGTTATCTGCAGATCGACGGAGACTCCGTGCGTTTAGGTCTCCTTGTCGTCAAAACTCAATCGGTCAGTGGTACGGATCTGGGATAATGCGTTCCTAGACAAGAGCTCACCTATGATTGACAAATTCCGCCTGACACGTCAATGGCTCGACTCTTAGCCTCTAATGACTCCGCAGCTCAAGAGTCGACGGGCTCTAGACCACATCTGCGAGGCAGAGTGGAGATGACGAGATCTCACAGAGGAGTAAATTATGGGTCCTCAGGCAGACTTTGTGAAGGTGATGTAAGACATACCCTATGGACTCCGTACATGATCTTCTCTTGCTTAAGCCAGGCTTTTGATGCAGTATGAGAAGTCGAACGTCAACGGAGACTGGTGACTTGGACGCGGCTCCCTCGTACACTGAGTGGACTTATTTTGTGGTATTATAATTCTTCGTAGTTATCCATACGTCGAGCCTAGCGACTACAGTGCAGCATCCACTGCTGTACTACTTGGATATGGCTCTCAATTCCGACCGGTACTGATTTGACGGTAGAATAAGTCACAGTAGACCCCACCCTGAGCACTGTAGAATAATTTTCCAGTTGGATCTAAATTGGCGGTTCATTCGCCATCCATCTCTTACAAAGAGCCGAAGTGAAAATGGAGAAGGCTTCGTTTTTAGCCGTATTAACCGCGTAGGTCAGAGAGTTATGTAAAGCAAACAAGGTACCCCGGAAGGACAAAGCAGGCTTGACCTTATGCGCTGTTTGCCAGGGTCGATGTAATAATGTTACACAACACTTGCCCCTCGTGCCAAAATCGGGCATTTTGCCCACCCTGTCATATTGCTTTGTTGATGCCAGGGAGTGGAAGCACCACTAAGCCAAGCTTGCATTTTTCAAGCCCAAGAACTACCTCCGTACCTTGGTACCCTCAATAATATTTACGGGTCTTCACATCCACTCATCCCGCCTCGTCTCTTGTTCCTAAAAGAGGCAGTGTGGAAGCAGAGCCCTGCTAGTCTATCCTGCAACCTGCACCATTGATCAGGGGAGTTAAAAAAAAAATCGACGAGCGAAAATACAATGACAAAAGAGGCGATACGACGGCAAGTGCCGCAAGTCAAACAAGGAAAA